TCTCAGCTTTGGAGATCACCGCCAGAGGCTGCGCCAGGGGAACAGACAACAGGGCGTGAGTTCGCGGCGCTGCTCCCCCAGGGCCCGGCCCTCTTGGCTCACACTGCACCCAAGAAGCTGTCAGCTGATGTGCCCGCACCGAAGAGCAAGCCTGTGATGCAGGACTGGAAGTGTGGGAAGTGTGAGTACAGAGCCAGGGCTACCTGGTCAGATCCTCCGCGGCACGGCCGAGGGTACCATGAGCACAGAATGGGGCTGTGTTCCTCCTCCTCTCGGAGCCCTCCCTCGGGGACAAACGCCACAGTCCCGCTGTGGTCTCTGAGTTTGGACATGACCTGCTCCCAGGACCTCGCGACCTCACCTCCTCCCCTGTCCCCCTCGGTAACTTCACTCTGTTCTGTCTCCTGCTGTTTCTCTCCCCCACCCTCAAGTGTGTCTACTCTCACTTTGTGATCTTTGGTCCCGCACTTTTCTGTCTGGAATGCTCATCAGGAAGGCACCCACAGACCTCACTCCCTCACCCCCAGGTTCAGAAGCTTTCTGTCCTGGCTGAAGTGTGGCCCCCATCCCAAGCTTGTATGTTGCAGCCCTTAGGATGTGACAGTATTTGGAGGTAGAGTCTTTATAGAGGGGCTTAAAGTAATTTGAGGTCACTAGGGGGACTCCATCCCATATGACCAGTGTCCCTATAAGAAGAGGAGACGAGGACACAGACACACACAGAGAAGGACTAATGTGGAGACAGCGGGAGGTGGCCCCTGCAGAAAACAGCCCTGCCAGGACCTTGATCTCAGACTTGCAGCCTTCAGAACTTCAAGAAAATAAACGGCCATAGTTTAAATTACAGAGTCTGCAGCACTTTGCTTCAGCAACCTTGGCAAACAATTCATTGCCATGTTTTTAAAGACTACAGTTCTTCCTTCTGCCTGTCTTTCGATGGTCTCTACGCCTTCTCCCTGCTGATTTTTCTCTATAGCGTCATCAGTTTTTAATGTCTGGAATGTCTTACTTGCTTACGTGTTTGTAAAACAACTTACTTGGTTGCGTTGTGTAACCTAAGAGCTCCTCTGATAAGATGTAAACTTCATCAAGGCAGGGACTCCATCTGTGTCGCTCATGGCTGTGTCCCGGGGCTCCTGGTTGAAGGAACGAGCTGGAGGGTGGGTAGATGCAATAAACACTCAGAAGCCCTCAGTCTTTGCTGGTCCACTGACTTCCTAAATCTCAAGGCTCTTTTATGTCCTTTTTCCTCGATGGATTCAATGTTAGAGGGCAGCGAGGGTTTTGGAAGTCTGTCCTTTTGAATTCAGTAGTGTCTATCAAACAGAAGTACAGATATTTCATCCTCAAGTTCAAGAAGAGGAACTTATTTCTCAGAGGTCCTGACGTAAGTGCTCAGGGATGAGAGCACAAGCATCCCGATGCAGGGGCGTTTATTACACTGAAAATACAGCGATGACCCCAGTGTTCATCAGCAAAGGCCTGGGCATAGACTGGCACATCCACGTAAGTGGAGACTATGCCGGTGTCAAGAGGAAAAAGAGGGACCCGTCTGTGCCGAGGGGTGGATCAAGTGGAGAAGTAGCATCAGCCAGGACAGCGTGGAATGAACTCACACATGCAATACCAACAGCCAAAAAGTCCCCCCAGGGAGTGGAGAGTGAGGCTGCTGTGCCACTTATCTATGGTCGCAATGATGCTGTGAAACAAGCAGGCCCAGAGCTGCTGGGCACCCAGGAAGCAGCACTCTGACCCATTTGCCTGGGAGCCACTCCTCTAGCGCTAGGCCTAGGCTGCTCTGCTGATCTCGCTAGGTTTGCTCAAAGTTGGCCACCGGCTGACCTTGGCTCAAAGAGTTGCTCAGCGTGGTACCGCATGTCTTCCAGCTTGGACACAGTGTCATGGCAATGGCGGAGGCATAACAGCAAGCAAGCTTGACTGTGGAAAATGCTTTCAAGTCCCTGCTTGTGTCTCTGTTGCTAAAGTCCCATCAGCCAAGGTAAGTCATACCACTGGAGGCCAGGTAAGGGGGCCGCCAAGCCGTGAGCCAAGGGCACGGGCACCGGAGGGGTGATGGACTGGCCGCCTTTGCAACTTGGTGAGGTTGCCTTCCGTAAAAGCGAACCCTGGGACTAGGATTCATGTGTGAGTGACGTATTAAGGCAATGCTGGGGGAGGCAGGAGGGTGGGGGGGAGGGAAAATGTGACAGAGAGTTGACGCCAGTCAGGGTGTGACCAGGCAAAAAGGCAGCTGGGCCTGACCCCACCGGAGGCTCTGGGGTAAGTCACACCTCAGAGTTTGTCCTGACTCCTGTGTCAGCCTGTCTTTGGCTAAAGGCCACCTGGGGTCTTTGTAGGGTCATAAACTCCTGGCTCTCCGCACAGAGAGCACCGGTGTCTCCAGCAGCCCGAGGGCCTTTGCTGAGCAGAGGGTGGGGGCTTTGGGGAAAGTCACAGGAGCAGGTATTAGCATCACCACAGGCAGAAGCTGGGGGTTGGTGAGCCCAGGCAAGGGCTCTGGGCTGGGAGCCAGCCGTGTCTGCTACAGGAGCAGGAGAGGTTAGGAACCTTTTATTTTCCACTTTAGATTTTCTGTACATTTTAATATTTTGCCATGAGCATGGATTGGTTCTGTAATTAAAAAATAACAACAAACCCACAACAAAACAACAGTCAAGAGGGCAGACATTTCCAGGGAAATTTCTCAAGATGCCTTCAGAGGCGCAGTAGCAATGCGCAATCTTGGCTTAAGAGCTTTTGCAGGGGTGACGGGTGGCCCCGAGGGAAAAGAGACCTGAGTTCAAGCCCCGCTCTGCCTTTTCTGGGCTGTTTGGCTGAGGGCAAGTGGTTTCCCTGTCTCTGTCCCTCAGCTTCCCCTCTAAACAATGGGGGTAACTGCATGCCCCCGTATGGGTCTCTACTGAGTATTCAGAGTTTGTGTGTGGGGCGGGGCAAGGGCAGAGAGCATTTGGATGGGCATTAGTGACTGGCATTTTCCAAGGATCATTTCTGGGGAAGGCTGGACCCTCCCCACCCTGCCCAGCTCAGGAAGGGGATCTGGAAGTCCCTCACGCAGAGCTCTTGGATCCCCAATTTCCATGACTCGCCCATGTCGAACAAGAAGGCTCAGCATCCCAATGTTCCTGCCAGTGGCCTGTGTGGCACCCCACAGGAGCCCAAGACCTTCTCTGAACTGCCTCCCCCTGCTCGGCATCAAGCTCTCCCCTCCACTCTCCATGTTCTTCCCTAGAAATGCTCAGCTCCTTCTAGCTCCCCAAGCGCAACGGGCAGTTTTGCATCTCTGGGCTTGTGTCCAGGCTGTGCCCTCTGCTTTGCATGCTCTTCAGCCTGCTCTCGATGGTTTTATGTGGAAATCCTTCTAGATCATGCTGAAACATCACTTCCTTCTTGAAAACTTCCCCTGGCACTTCCTCAGGCCCAGCTAGATCAGTCATGCCCGCTGTTCTGCAAACCCTCCCTATGTTTTAATGGCTTCCTTCTCTTTCTAGTCCACTCTGAGTTATGGCATGGCTGTTTGTGTCTGGTCTACACCCTTCACTGTCCTATACTCTGAGCCACCAGCACTAAGCCTCAACTTCCCTGTCTGTCCCTGGCTCTCAGGCTGTCACAAGGATTCTAAAAAATATATGCCTGTCACCTGGCAAGGTGCTTGGTACACAGTAGGTATCTAATAAATGGTGGTTAAGAATGTCTGCTCTGTGCCAGAGGTGGTGGTTTTATGTACCTGTGTGAGAGAGTGCACAGGGTTGTGTGTCCCAGAGAAGATGGGGGAAGGCCACTCCCTCTCACCTGCCCTCAAACTACGTGGCCAGGATACCACATTACATCTTTTCCAACTCCTTGTAAGGTTCTCTCTCTCAGGCTAGCTTCTGGCTGCAGCCTCCCTGGAATGTCTTGCCTGTGCACAGAGCCCACACAGAAGAAAACAGAATCAAGAGAAGGAACTTACTTGCTGTGTGCCCTTGACCACAGCATACCTCAATCTCTTCATCTGCCAACTGGGGACATCATCTGAACACCTGGTTCTAGCCGTGCCTGAAGCCCCAAGGCTTGTCAGTTATGGGGATCAAACACCCTCCCAACCCTCAAGCCTGGTCTTTGACACAGGCAACAAACTACAAGAGAATTAACTCATGCCACAGAGAAGCTGGGGTCTCAACTCTAACACCTCATTATTTGGTAGAAAACATTTCCCCAGAGGACTTCTGACATGACTCCTCATGACTTTCAAGAAGTAGGCTTCCCTTGATTAAGATATGGCCACGGGCCTCCCCGGTGGTGGAGCGGGTTGAGCACAGCGCTGTGAAGCTGTCCGCAGCCTCTGCAGCATGGGTTCGATTCCCAGCCCCGGCCAGGGAGATTACCACATGGCACGGCAGACCTCTCCTGCCTTGTCCGCTGCTCCCCTCAGCAGTGTCTTTGGTTCATCTGCCTGTTCTGCTCCCCGTTCTGTTTCTGGTGAATCCTCTCACCCTATCACGCCTCTGACTGTACCCTAGTTCTTGTATAAATAAACAAACAAACAAATAAATAAATACAAGATATGGCCATATAAAGGCATCCCACAAAATCCACCACTTGTGAGAGGTGATGTAGACTCTCCTGCAAGTGAAATGATGTGGCTGCCCTGTGAGTTCACGAGGCCTGGGATGGTTTCAGTGGTAACCCTTGGAGAGCAGAGCAGAGACGAGATGCCAGGAAGTGTCCCCCTATCCCCAGGCACTCCTGTGTGTGTGTGTGGGGCGAGGTAGGAATTTTCTATTATTCCTATTTCACAGACAGGGTCACTGTTCCCGCACACAGAGGAGACCCGGGCAGCAGGTGAGGAGGAAGGCACGGATGCAGCTCTCAGTCCTACCGTGGGCGAGGACTGGCCTAGCTTCGAGGATCTGCATCCCAGTGCCCATCCTGTTCAGAAAGTGAAGCATGGGCGCCTTCCAATCGGCCAGGCCAGGAGCCTGGCAGGCAAGCAGGCAAAGGAGAAGAGCCGGGATTTACAGTGAAGAAAGCACAGGGAGAGCTTAAAGGGAGCCTAAACTAAAATCACACAGAGAAAACATTTTTTGCTTCTCAAATTGGCAAAGACTAAAAAAATCTGATAAAACCCTGTCAGTAAGAGGTGGGGGGACTAATAATTGTTCAGACATCGTAGTGGGAGGGCCAGAGGAAGATACTATCATGATTACAAATGCTTGAACCCTGTGACTGGAGCCCACTTCTGGGAATTTATCCCACAGGCATGTCGAAGCCACAGCATGAAAGCAATGTATGCTCAAGGTTATTTATTGCAGCATTGCTCAGAGCAGCACAAGTTTAGACAGTTAGGTTCCCCAACAGGGCAGTGGTTAAATAATTTATGCTTTATCTGTACAATGGTATGCTTGCAGCCACAAAAACATGATGAGGAAGCTTTTAACATGCTGATATGGAACTACCTGCAAGATATATTAAAGCAAAAGGCAAGGTATCTAGACATAGCAGCAAAGGCATGCTCCACAAGAAGAACAGACAGATATATTAGGCCTTGTCAAAATTCAAAATGTTTGCTCTGCAAAAGTCTCTGATAAAAGAATGAAAAGACTAATGTCAGACTGGGAGAAAGTACTTATTTGTAAATCCCATAAACCAATAAGGGCTTGTATCTAGAATATGTAAAGAGTAGCCTAAACTCAATAGTAAGAAAATGACTCAAGTAGAAAATGGGCAAAGGATTTGAACAGATAGTTCATGAAAGAGGATATACAAATGGCAAATAAACACAAGAAATTATGACATCATTGGCCACGGGCAAAATGCAAAATTAAAGCTCCAGTGAGGGCACTCCAAACCTATTAAAATGAAATGGTTAAAATAAAAATACTAGCAATATTAACAGCTGACAAAGGACACGGAGCACACTGTCTCTCTAGAATTTTCAAACACTGTATTGGGCACGTAAAATGGTACAGTCACTCTGGAAAATGATGTGGCTGTTTCTTCACATATATTTACCACACAACTCAACAATTGTATTTTTTAGAAAATCCTAGAAAAACTAAGAGGTAGGGTCATGTGAAATCCTGCCTATGAGTATCCATAGTCGCTTGATTTGTAATTGCTAAAAAAACTGGAAGCAACCCACATGTCCTTTAACAGGTGAATGAATAACTAAATGGTGAGGCACCCATAAAATGGAATATTATAGAGCAATAAAAAGGAATGAATTATTGCTGTTCACAACAAAGCAAGTAAATTGACCTCAAGGTCATTATGCTGAACAAAAAGTGCCAATCTCAAAATATTTATGATTCCATTTATATGACCTCATCAAGAGACATAATTATAGTGATAGGGAACCATGGATCTGTGGTTGCTCAGGCTAGGGAAGGACACGCTTATAAAGTGTTAACATAAGGAAGTTTCTTTGCGGTAACTGGAACAGTTCTATTATCTCAACAGTTACAAAATCTATCCATGAGATAAAATTTCATACAACTATGCACTGGAAAACAAAACAAAATAATTATTGCATGTAAAAACTAGTGAAATCCAAATAAGGTTTCATTTTGAGTTAATAATATTGTATCAGAGCAATTTCCTGGTTTTGACAATGCACTTGGTTATGTAAGATGTTATCACTGGTGGCTGGGGCAGGCTGGGTGAAAGGTCCCAGGGAACTCTCTGGACTCATTTTGCAACTTCTCAAGAGTCTTAAACTGTTTCAAAATTAAAAATTTTAAAGTAAGAAGAGTTTGGGGCTGCCTTTCTCAATTTGACTTTTTGATTGTTGTTGTTGGAAGAGAGCTAGCAAGGTGGAGTGTGTGTGAAGAGAGTGCTGCTGCTGTGAAATGTCAGTGCAGGAGCGGTTAATTCCTGTCCACGACAGCATACTTCTGGAGCCGTGCACAAGGGACTGGGGTGCTGGAGCCTCCTGAGACGGACGAGACGGCAGGAGCGCAGGGACGAGAGGGAGCAAGCCAGAGTTTTCAGTTTTCCTCTCGAGACTTCTGAGTTTTATACTGTGGACATCTGTCACCTTAAAAAAAAACTTTAAAGCTAGCATGGGGCCTGAGTGCGGGGTAACAGGCGTCATCTGTTTGGTATAGAGAACCTCAAAGGGCCAGTCTAGAGCAAGGAGGGGGCGTGCCTGGGCAAGATTTTATTAGGAAAGATCTTTTTCTAAGTTCTAAGGGAAGCTAGAAACATAAGAGAATAGCCGACAGAACAGGCAGGGCACCCAGTTCCAGATGGCAGGACCTGGGACTCGATGCCTCTTTCGTCCCCATGATGACGACAAGGAGCAAAGGTGATAACAACAGCCCCCACCACAATGGACACTCACCCAGCCCACCAGTAGGCCAGGCCACTCACATAAGCACTTCTCAGAGGCCAAGGCACATAAAGTTACAAGAGTGTCATCGTATTCAGGAGGAAAGCGAGGCATGAGGTGAAGTGACTTGCCAGAGGGCCCACTGCAAGTTAACAGCCTGTCATGCCAGGGACCAAACTACACTGACTGCCACCTCAGACTTCCTGGCCAGAGCCCAGGGAGTAGACACTGGACAAGGCCCCCGTGCTGGGCTTTCAGGGGTGATGGAGGAAGGCCCCCAGCCTCTAGGCCTCATGGGCTGGGGGAGAGGAGGTGGTGGGAGGAGGCAGGCAGCACACATGTGCACCGGGCATATTCACAGAACTCATTCATGGAAAGAGCAGCAAAGTAGCCAGGAAAGACAATGAAGTCACAGGGGTGCCACCTCATCAAGTAGAGTCCTTGTCTTTGCATGTTTATGCGTTTACAAGAAAGACTTATTAGTCTTATTAAAAAGACCAGAGGAGGGCAACCTGCAGCATGGGAGAAAGTATTTGCAAATCACATACATGATAAGGAGCCAGTAGCCAGAATATGTAAAGAACTCCTATAACTCAACAAAAACAGATCAAAAAAGGGCAAATGACTTAATATGTTTTTCCAAAGATGACATGTAAATGGACAAACAGATGAGAAGATGCTCAACATTCCTTACTAATCAGGAGGGAAATGTAAGTCAAAACCACACAAGCCGCCACTCGCACCCGTGACAGTGGCTACAGCCAGCATGAGCAAGCGCTGGGGAGAACGAGGAGAAACCGGAATTCTGGGGCACTGCTGTGTGGGGGCTGCTGTGGAAAGTGGGATGGTGGTTCCTCAAAAATGTAAAAGTGGAATTAGCATATGAGCCAGCAAGCCCCCTCTTCGGCGTATGCACGAAAGAGCTGAGAGCAGGATTTCGAAGAGCTACTTGAACATCGTGTGTGGAGCAGCGTTGTTCACAGCGGCCAGGAGGTGGAAGTAACTCAAATGTCCGCTGCCTTTTTTGCGCTGCTGCTGAATGGACGAGGAAAGTGAATGGAGACACTGGAATACTACCCGGCCTTTCAAAGGAAGGGCATCTGACGCAGGCCTCTCCTCGGAGGAGCCGAGGACCCGGCGCTCGGTGGAATCAGCCAGCCGCAGAGTGGCAGACACCGCAGGCGCCGCCTCCGCGAGGCGCCCAGAGAAGTCAAATTCCGAGACACCCAGTCGAGTGGCCCTGGCTGGTTGGCGCAGGCGGGAGAGCAGGAAAGTAGAACAGGGGCAGCCTGGGGAGGAAATAGGGGCGTCACTGTTTGTGGGGATGAGCGAGTTCCGGAGCTGGTGGCAGCCAGGATCCCACGCAGCGTGGCCGAGCCAGACACTCCGTGCACTGGACACCTGGGGATGGCTCAGATGGTCAACGCCAGCCTTTACTCGCCCGCAATTCAACACAAACAGGCAAACAGAAAGAATGTGGTCTGGCCTTTAGCTGGATGGGAAATGGTGACCCGAGGAGGCCCTGGCCCAGCGTGAGCCCTCCACAAGCAGCCCTGTCCAGGGAGGCGCGGCGACGGGAGGGGGCGGGCAGCCCATCTCCAGGCGATGAAGGAGGCCGTGCTCCCGGGAGGCCGCGGGAACCAGCGGGCCCAGGTCTCCTGGTCACAGCACCTGGTGGGGGGAACAGGCACAGGGGGGCCCAGCTGCAGCCCGGGAACCTCCCCACGTTGGGGAAGCCCGCTGCGCACAGGGGACCCCAGGGATGCCAGGCGAGGGCCGGAGGGGGTGGGGGCAGGTGAGCTGAAGCAACGCTACTCCTTCCTCAGGGTTCTCAGGTGAGATGCGTCAGGGCCACTTCCCAACCCCCCCCCCCAGCGGCCCCTGTAGCCTCTGTGATTCCTTCTGCGGTCTTGGGGGTGGTATTGGGGGTGGCAGCCTAGGCCAAGGGCAACACACGTGGATTTTATATCCAAACTGAGGGCTGTGCCGCCACCCCGTCCCGCGCGCTGTCCTGGCTCCTCCCAGGTGGGAGCACCTCAAGGGGCAGGAAGGATGCCCCGCCCCCACACCGCTGTCACCTGGCCTCGGGCCCTGTCCATGGCGGCGGCTGCGAGCAGGCACTCCCTCCCCGGCTGTTCTGAATGTCCTGAGGAACCCAAACCCACCCTGGTGTGGGTACTCCAGAGGCCCCGGGGCAGCGCCCTAATCAGACAAGCCACCAACCCGCTTCTGCGCGGCCACCTCATCCCACAGGCCTCTCTCTGGATGGGTCACCGACGGCAGGACGGGGCCTGCCCCCAGCCCCCTCAGAGCCCACTCATCGGCTCGCCGCCTCTCGCCACGCTGCCGTGCTGGCAGCCTCTGCCCGCCTTAGACGGGTCCAGGCAAGGGCCGGCCCCCGGCCCCTCAGGCTCTTGGTAACATCCTCCAGGGATCTTCACCCACATGCCCCCCGCGTCCCTGGGTCAGGGTGGCCGGGCTGGGCGCGAGGTGGGGAACATGTCCCTCTCCAGCCTGCAGCTCTAACCTCGCTCTTCGGAGGTCCTCCTGCAGACGCAGGCTGGACCACTTTGTAGAATGTTCTCGCACACCTCTCCCTAGAACGTGGGGGTGCTTGACCCGTTATTCTCAGTTTCACCGTCTCAGCCACGCAGCCAGCTGGTTCCCTGGCGGTCTCACAAGGCCGCCGGCGGAGTCGAAGGCCCTGAGGGGGCGTCTTCACAAAAGAAAAGCCACTTGGCGGCGTCCACACTGCCAGAGAGCTGGGAGCTGGGAGCAGGGACTGAAAGGTAAAAACAGAGGCGCCTGTAAATAAAGGGCGGCACCGCGGCCTCGAGGGAAGCCTCCGTTCAGCCGCCACCGCTCCCAGCCCGCCGCCGCGGCATGGCCGGCTGCTTTCTGTGGGCGGCGCTGGTCGCGGCCCGCGGGTGCGAGACAACGCCTGACAACACAGTGGCCTCGGCCCCGCGGAGGAGCTGGGGGGAGTAGCACTAAGAAAGGGTTGGTGTGAGGACGACAGCGCGCGCCCACAGGTGGAGCGTCACGGGTCACAAGCTCCCCTCACGCGGGCGCCTCAAGCGGCAACCCTGTGATGGTTCACAGGGTCATGTGGGCTCCGCAGGTGGTGGCGCAGGCCTCAGAGGATCAGGAAAAAAGAGCTCCCCTCACACTTGCGCGTCGCTGCAGGTGGAAGCGAAAGCAGCACGGGGTCCGCGATTGCGGCAGGGAGCATCATGGGGTCACGTGGACGCTGCGCATGCTGCGCAGAGTATCATGGGGTCACGCGGCCCTGCAGGTGCTGGCGCGGGGCATCATGGGGTCACATGGATGCTACACGTGCCGCGCAAAGCCTCATGGGGTCACATGGATGCTACACGTGCCACGCAAAGCCTCATGGGGTCACATGGATGCTACACGTGCCGCGCAAAGCCTCATGGGGTCACATGATGCTACACGTGCCGCGCAAAGCCTCATGGGGTCACATGGATGCTACACGTGCCGCGCAAAGCCTCATGGGGCCACGTGGATGCTACACGTGTCGCGCGAAGGCTCATGGGGTCATGTGGAACTTCACGTGCCGCGCAACAGCTCATGGAGTCACGTGTATGCAACACGTGCTGTGCAAAGGCTCATGGGGTCACGTGGGCACTACACGTGCCACGCAACGGTCATGGGGTCACGTGGACACCGCATGAGTTGCGCAGAGGCTCATGGGGTCACGCGGCCCTGCAGGTGCCGGCGCAGGTCATCACAGGGTCAGGAGATGGAGCTGGGAGCGTGTGGACCCCACAGGTGGCAGCCCCGAGCATCAGCATTGGGGTTCAGGCGGGAAGGGCCGTGTCCCATGGGAACAGGGAGCCGTGGGTGGGTTTCTCGGAAATTCCTCGGGATTCTAACGTCCTCCTCCTTGGCCAGAGGCGGGCTCCACCCAGAGCGCCTCACAGCCGGTTTCTGGGAGTCTGGGCTCGCCTAAGTGGAGTCTTCCGTGATGCCGCGACCCCATTGCTCAAGGGCCTCAGAGTTTTCTTAATGGCCGGGGCATGGCTGCAGGCACCGTCTGAGCCACCAGGACTCAAAGACGCAGCTTTAGGGCCGCGAGTGTCCGAGAGCGGATGTTCCTCAGGGTCTAAGTTTTTCATTCAGACATTTAAAAATTGTGTGAGTCTCTCACGCTTTCTCACGCGCGCCCGTTGCCTCCTGGAGGCCTGCGACTGGCAGTGAAGCCAGTGCTGTCTCTGTGCTCCCTAGTACAACCATTTTTCTTGACATTTGAAAATTTAAATTAAAAATTTGGACCGTTCCCTGTTGGTCGCCTTCTAAATACCAGGGCTGAGGGGCCCGCGTCCTCCCCAGCGCCGGCGGCGATCCGGACACCCAGCTCCGAAGCCGCGGCCCAGGGCAGTGTGGGCACAGCCGCTTCCAGGCGAGCAGCGGGTCCCCAGGGCGGGCGCTCACGGGGCGCGGGAGGCCGCACATGGCCGTCGGGGACGGGGGTCCCGCTGTGCGGGGAGGTGGCCCGGCGGGGCGGCGGGCGGGAGCCACTGGGGCCATCGGGCAACGCCGCCACCTAGTGGCCGCGAGGCGGGTCGCCGAGGGAGGTGCGGCGAAGGGGCCGTCCGGGGGACGCTTGGGCGACGACGAAGGGCCCGAGGCCGCAGAGCCCGGCGCTGAGGAAACGGCTCGAGCCCCCAGCTGGGGGGCTGGTGAAAGCGGCGCCCACCGCAGCCGCGACGCTGGGAGGACACTCTGGAAACCGAAGGAGAAAAGATTTTAAAAGGTGCAGCTGAGGGAGGAGGCTCGGCCGGGGGCCTGCAACTGAGCAGAACGTGACTAAACCCCTTTGGGCGGCCCTCGGGGCGGGCCTCACCGGCCGCGTCTACACAGGCGCTCAAACCAGGAACCCGGACATCACCCCGCCCGAGCCCACAGCAGCGCAGCCCCTTCACTTCGCTCGTGGCCCGGCCGCGTTTCTGGGCTGGGTCACCAGAGACCCCTCGCGCCACCCCGGGCCTCTGTCTCCACCCCGCAGCCGAGAGACCCTTCAAGCGCCAGCTCCCCCCTCACCCCCCGTTAAAATCCTGCAGCGGTTTTCTCTGCTCACCTCACCCGCCCCATCCCGTCCCGTCCCTCCCCCTGGCCCGTCCCTCCCCTCCCCCCTGGCCTGTCCCGCGCCCCGGCCCTGCCCCTCCCCGCGCACAGCGGCGCGTTCAGGCCTGGGAAGCCGCAGTGGGGAGCGGGATCCGTCCTTGCCTTTTCTGACTTGTTGAGAGGCGAGTATTATTTTTATATAATCAGAAGAAAGCAAGCCCCGACTATCACTTTCAAACTTAAACAAAACGCATCAACTGCTGGGCACCGTGAGTTCAAAGCAGGGGCTCGAGGCTGGGGCTGCCAGGAGGCCGGGCGGGGAGGCCGCGCGCGGAGCCGTGAGTGAGGCCGGGAACGACGCGCCGGCGCCAGCGAGGCAAACCTGAGAACAGAGGCGTGGAGGTGGGCAGCGGTGGCGAGAGGTGATGCTGCCTGCCTGGCTCCCTTATTTCTGGCGGTATCGCCTCCCCCCACCCCCCACCGCCACGATCCATCCTCCCGTGGGCTCAGCCCATGTGTTTCCAGTGGAGCTTGTTCTTGCTGGGGCGCGGGACTGGGTCAGGAAGGAGTCTCTTCTGGGCCTGTCCCCCATCTACTGAGGAGTGTTGGCACTTCAGTAACCCAGTGGAGTCAGCAGGCTGGGTGGATGGGTGCCCCATCGCCTGTGCCACAGGCAGGGAAGATCCTGCCTGAGCACACAGCCCCTGCAGAAGAAACCAGGCCAAAGTCTGCGAGCGTCACCCTCTCACGATGATGCCTGAGCACCTGGACGCAGTCCCTCCTGAAACCGTGTCTCCCTAGACTTTCTAGATCTCCGTGCTCCCTCCTTTCACGTGCAACCCAGAGAGTCCTAACTTCTACCCTGTCTGACGAAGACAGAGACGTGCTCTGGAAAGCCATGAGGGAACATGAGCAGAGGCCCCAGACGCAACAAATGTCATGGCTATTCTTTGGAGACAAGACCTATATTCCCAGTGGACTGAGGCCTCAAGTGTGGGAATCGGAGAATCTAAATCTTTGAGCCAAGCCAGAAATCTGAAACAATGATAGGCCCTCTCCCCCGACTGTCCACAAGCCACAATCTCACTCATCTATCCAGAAATCCTTTGAAAGGAGACACAGGGACAGAAATGGCCTGAGGCAGCTCCCGTTCTTGGATTCCTAGGGCTCTGGAAGGAAACTTTCTAAGCCTTCCCAGACCGCACTGGGAAGGCCAAGAATCCACAAGGCAGCTGGGCAGGGGATGAAATGGGTGAGGGTGGGGATCAGTTGATGCATTTTCCACTGCTCTTTCCCTGTTTGTATGTGGTCTGACTGTTCCCAAGGGACTTTGGTCCTTGGCAGGGGCTGTGGAGATGCAGGAGAGAGCGCAACCCCCTGGCTCTAGCTCCTATCTGGTTCTTCCTGTGAGCTGCATGATGGCATGACATGTGGGTGCCCCTGCGGGCCCTGGTGGGTCAGTACTGGGCCACGTGCCTCCACCCCCACGATGCTTAGCATAGTACCTGGCACAGGATTACAGAAAAGGGACTAGTTTCTGCTTAGAAAACAGGTCCAAGACCTTACTGGGAGTGAGCAGAACAGGAGGTCACAGGACTGAGATAGACGATCACATACGTGTCCCTGCCTTGTCTCACTGGGAGCCCCTCACACTCCTGTCTCATCCAGCCCCCAGGAGGGCATGACTGTTTCTGACTCTTTTGTCTGAGACCAGCTGTGAAACACTTTCCAGTTTTTGAAAGCTGCAGCTGTAGATGTGAACTAAAATCAACAGGTACATAGAAAAATATCTGTTAAAAGTGTAACACTGATGATAAAAACTCTTAGAAAAAGATTATCAAAGAAAACTTCCTTACTATGATAAAGTGTACTTGCCAAACAGACACACAGATGCAGCACACATAGCTAGTGCCATCACTAAGGATGAAACAGTAAATGTTTTTTCCTGAGGATGGAAAAAGAAAGGGATGTCCCCCAATACAGTTTCTATTCAGGATTACAGAGTAGGACCCTGCCACGTCCATACGGCAAGGAATAGACACATAAAGAATAAAGATTGGAGGAGGGCCTCCCTGGTGGCGCAAGGGGTTAAGTCTCAGCACGGTGAAGCTATCGGCAGCCTCTGCAGCAGGAGTTCAATCTCCGGCCAGCTGGGGGTCAACCCACATGGCGCAGCAGACCTCTCCTGTCTCCCTGCTACTCCCCTCAGCAGTGTACAGAAGAGGCCTGCCTCTTCCCTACATCTGCCTGTTCTGCTCCCCACTCTCTCTCTGGTGAATCCTCTTACCCCCCAATAGCCACTCCCCCCACCCCCGCACCTCTGGCCTACACGCCAGCTCCTGTATGCATAAATAAATCTTTAAAAAAAAAGATTAGAAATGTTATTATTTCAGATGAAAATCTTATGGAAAAATGCAAAATAACCTACAAATAATTTGAATGAATGAGTAAATTTAGCAGGGTTGCTGGATATCATCAACATACAAAAATCAATTGAATTTCTAAATACTAGCAAAATTAGAAAATGAAAAACTTTAAATAATACCAAATATAATCAGAAAATTATGGATAAATTGAATAAAAGAGGTATATGATGTCTATGCTAACAACTATAAAACACTGCAGAGAAATAAAAGACCCAAATGAATTAAGGACCATATCATGTTCTTTAATTGGCCAATTCAATATTATTAA